CCTAATAAACAAATAACCAGTCATGTGCCATACAATTTTTTTACAAACCAATAGCAGCGCTACACCAGAGCAAAGGTTTACTGATAGCATTTTCCTGTTATTATTACAAAAGTATCACCCCTGGCATAATTAAAAAACTGCAGAAGCCCCAGCTCAGATGTAATAAAAAAAAATTTTCAGGGGCTCATGGACCAAGCAAGTGGATGTTTTAAGTTGTTTAAAAAGCCTGAAAAGGAACAATATATGCAGTAAGCTTCCAGCAATGTTGAAATAAAATCACAAACCTAAGAACAGAAGATTGTCATCGTCTCAGTTTTGTTCACATTTTCATTGGCTGTCATACACTGAATGTAGGTCAACACACCACTCACATCAGCTGATTTGAGCTGGATTTATAAGTGCTGACAGATTCATGTAAAAGCACCAACAGGACCTTCCCTAACAGGTGTTTATAAATTCAGCTTGAAATATGCAACTCCTGTTGTGTACAATCATTGATCAGCAGTCAGAAATGTTATTCTGGCAGGATATACCAACATCATAAAGCATTATATACTAGGCTGATGATATAAAGACAACAATATTCAGGAATAATGAAACCAACTAGGAGATTTATGTTGACAAAATTTCTCCAAGCACTGCAGTTGTCTACAGGAAGTCAGGAAACGGTGGGAATGTCAAATATTTATGGAAAGAGATGTTTTTGTGTTGCAATTATGTGCCATCAATGTTGCTCTTTGGAAAACAAAAACAGTAATTAAACTTTCCCTAACAGAACCAAATTTGAATAAAGCATAGCTGGTTTGCTAAAGCAAGAGGGTGCAGCGGTCACGTCGGCACACGTTTGAGTCCTTAAAGGAACTTCTTGTGTACATGTTACGACAAACTAGTTCAAAACACTGTTTTGTTTGTGATGAGTACAGTTATTTTTTTTACATTTCCAGAGGAAAGGAAGAGGAGCTGTTGGATATCAAGTGAAAATATGCAAACATTAGCCAATCTTTTCAACCGGAAACAACCACGATTAGAGCAGAAAATAAACGACACCAACTGCAGGTGGAAACAAAAACAAAAAAAATCAACCAGATCTTCAAACTCTTCTGTAAACAAACACCTCATTATAGTCAACCACTTTACATGCAAAATGTAGTTTTATTATTTATTTATCATCCTAGGAGCTAGTTGGTTAGGCTTACATAAAAACATTCATATGGATCAGCTGCACATAACCATACGAAATCATGTCTCCACGTCCCAGCACTGTATATTTAGGAGCTTAGCGGTGATGAATAGTAAAAGCAGAAGCAGTGCAGCGTGGTGAGCAGACCCCCAGCCTGTGGAAACAGGCCTCAGTGGATGACAGGCCTAACGAGCTAAATATAGCCTTCTGGGTTATCTCCTCTGTGGGCGCAGCGAGTCCGTTGTTGCTTCACATTATTTACGTGTCTGTGCATGCGCCATCTCTTTTTCTCTCTTTTGGTTCACGCACCCCCACACTCACACACAGCTATCTCTTTCTCTTGCTCTCTGTGTTGAATTCTCTCCATTTCATTCATCTGCAGAATATTTTATTCCTCCCTCCATCCTCTCAGTCCCCTGGTATCTCTTTCTTATACTTTCCCTCTCGTTCTTTCTCTGCATTTTTCCCTCTCACTCCTTCCTTGCGTATATCATAGTCATCTCAGTCAGTTTCCTCTATTCCTTTTTATCTCTTCTTTTCTTTGTACCCTTCTCTCTGTCCCTCAGAAGCTCCCTTTTTTATGTCTGACACTGTCGTTTTTTTGTTTTGTTTTGTTTTCTCTGCAGCTATCTTTCCCTTTGAGCTCCTCTCTTCTCTCTCATTTTCTTTCCCTCCCTCTCATTTTGAAGCCATGCCTATGAAGTAGCAGAGCAGTGTGTTAACCATCCAGTGCACCACAGTGCACCCTTGTTCAAGTAATACAGCCTGGGGTTCTAAACGTCTGCCATGCTAACCTACATGAATATGTCATCAACATCTGCAGCTCCATGACCTCTTGCCATGAGGCGCTATTACAGTCCTCCAATGAACCTAAAGATGCAGCATTTACCAGCAGAGCACTGGTCACATTGGCCGAGACCTTTAATATATTATCATAAACAGTTTGACCTGATGACAGCGGGCAACCATTACAACGTGAAAACAGAGAAATGGGATTTTTCTTCATTGCATAATTACGGATGCAGAAGATTTACAGTGCAGAAGGTGGATGTTTGTCTAGACCACTTGTTCCACATAGTAATTCGGCAAAACCCTGCGCTAAAATAGAGAGTACCGAAGACACAGGGATGTCTTCCTGTGCTTCACAGGAACTGTTATTTCCTGCTTTTTTAACTAAGGATGTGGTAAGTAACAACAGAAAATAATGAAAAATAAATTAGATGGGGATGTGCTGACAAGTTGACACTTAAGCAGATGGGCACTGAATTTAATTTTAATGAATTCAATTTTAATTATTTCAGCCAATTTCACTAGTGTAACATTGAAATTAATAAACCTGGAATATAGTTAGACCAAAAAGTGTGTGTATTGTCTGAAATACACACAAAAAGTGTGTGTATTTCAGTAAAATTGTCATTAAACAATTTAATGACAATTTTAATCTCACAGGACTTAGCTTTCCTGTGAGAGCTAAGTTTAGCTCTCACAGGAAATGATAAGGATGATAAATAATGTAAAAGGAGTATTCATTTTCTAACAAAATATACCGGTTTTTATTTATAAAAATATAAACATTCTTATTCTCTGTAATACATGGAGAAAAAACATTTTTCTTATAAAAACACACTTTGTATAATTGCTGACCAACAATTTGCAATGCTGGTCAACGTCTAAAGTCGTGTTCATAATGAAAGAGACACTCAGATACAATAAGGTAAAATATAACGTGGATTAAAGATCCATGCAGGCAATAAATTAGTTGGCTGCATTGGAAGCAGCCTGGCCAGATTTTTTACCAAAGATTAGCTTAAACTTGAAAACAGTCAAAAAGCTGGAAATGTGACATCTTTTTCTGAAAAGTCTAGGCCTTTTCCAAACTCAACTCTACAAAAAACACCCGGGTAGTACTCCTCCCCATGTGTCTTGAAATATGAATTTAGTTCTAGTTGTGCAACATCGTTGCCTCAGAAACTCTTACAAAATGATCATTTGAGCCTGCGCAGGATGCACAGATGCTTTCTTTACATCTCACTTTCCTAGCTGAACATGTAAAGTTACACCAACAAAATTCAATATAAATCACCGGACCGCAAAGAACACCAACTGTATTGTTTTTTGCAATCCAGTAGGGTTTTTTTGAGTGCTCAGTTAGCACTGATTGTAATCATTGCGCTATTGTAATATGTTTACGTCACTCAAAGCATTTTGGCACAATTGCAACACATTATGAACAAAATCTGTTTATGTAATCAGGTTTTGCAGAGCAAAGCTGATGCTTCGCCACCAGGAAGTCGTACAGTGGAGACAGGGTGAAAGTATGTATTTGTCTGAGAAAACAAGATAGAAAAGAGCATCAAAGTTATTAATTATATCCCGTGTACAGGATATAATACAGCGACCTGAAGTGTGTTGGCATAGTAGCACTTGTTAAGTCTGAAATCAGTCTAAAACATCTTCATCCTGAAAGAGAATGAACATATACAGGAGCTGGTTTTTAAAATATATAAAGTACAGAACTACAGAGTGTTGATTAAATTCAAGAGTATGCTGACAGCGTTAAGTAGCAACATGGCAGAAATCAATTTGTTGAAAATAATGTAACTTCTATTTCATGTTTGACCTAATAGAGAAATAAAGCATTAAGTAACATTCATTTATTTATGCTTATCTGTCAAATTTCCCAATGTTAAAGCCCTGATATGGATTGAAACAATGGTTCATTTAGATGTATTCAAATGAGTATGATTTTCTGTGTATGTGAGTAATTTGTCATTTGATCTCCTGCTTCTCAGCAGGACTCTCCATCATTTTGTCTCACTGCCGTTTTTCTTGTCCACTTCCTTTCTTCCACACACTCTATGTGCCTGTATGCATTTCCCTCGTTCTGTCTATCCATCTGTGTGTCTATCTAGCTTACAGCCCTGATCCTGCCTGCTCTCCCAGGTTTATGAAATGCGAGCAGCTTAGCAGATGGTGCATATCGTATTCTGGTTGGCTCGGTGTGGGTTTTGTACCACAGACGAAGGCTTATGACGGAAGTGAGCCCTTAGTCGCTTCGACGATCCGACTCGGAGAGCTCAGGTTGTTAGCGCAGGAGAAGAGAACAAGAGCCTTAGATACACATTGAAATGTGTGTGTGGAAGGTTTGAAGGGGAAATGAGTGAGAAATGAAAATGAAACTAATGTGAGTAGAAGAAATGAAAACTTTCATTTCTACAACTTTTGGAAGTTGTTTGCCATCTGAAATATTGGTGGATGCTTTGTTTAAACAAAACATTTAAAATCACAAATAAATGTATGTTTTGTGTCAGAAACAAAATAATTTAAAATTTAATTGAGCAACTTTGCTCAATTAAATTATTTCCTACTAAAAAATAATAAAAAATTTTTGTGAACCTTTCTCACGCTTTGTAATTTTTCATAATTGTTATTGTTTCTACCTGATTTTCCGATCATCTTCACTTTTTTGTGGCCACATCAAGTTGATTTGCCTTCCTTTAAGACGTATCGTGTTGCTTTTTGCACAAAGCAAATTGTTATAAAATAAATTACAAAAACCACTCTTGAAAAAATTAAATAGCAGAAGCATTACAAAAAAAAGTTCCAATTTTCCGATACCAACCAGTATTCACTCAATCTAGTTCTAGACCTAGATTGATTACTGGATCTCCCCAAGTTCAGTCTTTCCCCAAAAACCTTTGACAAAACATTGGTTATGCTAGCTATTTAGAATATAGTCTGTATTTCTGTCAGAGGACTTGAGATCTTTCTTAAACAAACACATCCTAAAGAACTCCACCAGAAGTGAGGCAGGACTCACCATGATGTAGTGCCTCTGCATCTCCGTCTTCTCACTGGCCAGCTTCTCACATTCCAGCTTCAGGCTGCACAAACAACAACAAAATTACATTTTTTTATTTCCATCTTACAAAATAGATTATAAATTCAACAGAAGATATTACAGGAGTCTCTCCTATTTAACGTTTTCTTTTTAAGTTCTCAAATGATGACTTCTAGATACCACAGTTAGTGTTGTGGGCATTAAATCAAGTTTGTTGATGAAATCCTCATCAGAGGTCCGTCTGTGATGATGTGTACCCCAATGGGCTGCTATGTAACCACCCCATTGGGTCCAGAAAAACTACCTGCTTTACATCCAAATGTTTCAAATTTACTGCATGTTGACAATAAATTAAAGTAAGAGGAACAAGTTCTTTTAATCTGTCTTTGTGTAAATAGTTGTTTGTCCCGTATGTTTCTGCGTTGCCCTGTGATGGAGTAGAGACATGTCCAGGTCTTTCACCCAATTACCTCCTACGTCTATTTCTATGCATGTTTGCATTTGTGGTGCATGTGTAACTGTACCTGTGATACTGAGCCTGGAGGAACTGGAATTCCTCCTTGATTCTGTCCAGAGTTTCCAGGACTGTGAACTTGAAAGACTGGCCAGGCTGCAAGGGGACCTGCACAGGTGAAAGACAAAAAATAAAGAATGGATAACGAACACACATCTCTCTCTTTGTGTGTGTGATAGGCTGTTCGTAAGGAGATTGTAACACCCACTTCATGCTGTGTTGGTGAGGAAAGCTGTGAGTGTGCGTGTGTGTGTGTGTGAGTGAGTGTGTGTGAGTGAGTGCTTGTGCATCTGTGTGGCAAGAGGAGAAAAGAGCCAAGATGAAAGTGAGAGGGAAGGTCACTTCCTCTTCCCACACATCATAAAGCCTTGTCCTCTGCCTCTCTCTCCTCCTCTTCCTCCCCTAATGACTGACTCTTTCCCTCCACTCGCTCCATCCTTTCTTCTTCCTCTCCTCTTCCCTCTCTCACTTCTACATTAGCATGCTCTCTACTCTGCTAATGTATTCAAGCCAACAAGAAGCTGAGAAGGGAAGAAACATCAAATGAATAACTCAAGACAATCACCATCTCTCACCTGCTAAAAGCTAAAGAAGGCCCAACAAAACAAGCAACTCCCAGGAGGTCCAGCACCACCCGCCATCCATGTCTGTCTAAAGCGCTGCTGACAGCAGCCCGCCTCCTCCATAGTCTCCATGACGGTGGAGAAACACGGGCTGTTGATGCTTTTGATGCTGCAGTTGTTTTCCTTGGAGCTGGAGCATGCAGAATAGGTTGTTCTCAGAGGACTTGTTCCTATCATTTTTTTTCTCTTGCTTTCTTTTCAATTCGGTTAATTTTGCTGCCTCGTGAGATTTAGAATATTAACTTTCACGTTGTCCCTACAAATTTTGTGCATGCAGTCTGCATCACTGTCATACCTAATCAAGGCTGGTTTGATGTGTCCTTTTGAAAGGATCCAACAAATATTTTATTTCAAACTGACCATAGTCATAAAAATAATAACACCATAGTAACCGTATATTCCTGTGACATTGTGTTGCTCCATTATTCGTTAAATGGATAAGACCTGGTCGTTATTGGAGCTATCACGTTATCAGTTCCTCGTCTTCCGTAGGAGCTAGTATGAATTAATTTTCTCGATATCAAAACATAAAACTAAGCTGTCTTGTAGTACCTCTGTTCATAATTAATAATATAAAACATCGCATAACCAGGGTGGATTATGTAAATTACCAAAGCCGACTGAGCAATATCCAAGACAGACAAACAATATATCAGAGGCAGTTTGCTGCTACCTACTGGACAATGTTAAGCCAACCCATGCCCAATTGGGCTTCTTTGCCAACTACCTATTGTCTGAACATGCACATTTTATCATTAAAACAAGTGTCCTTGTCATTGGTGGTGGTGCTTTTAACTTTCCTGTTTTAAAGATGTATTAGCACTGTGTATCAGTTTATCCTAAATGACTCCTAAAGACTGATCCAGAATGTGGAGTTAATGATCCACAAACTCATGAGTCAGGGTTACAGTAAAGTTTCGGTGTACTTATCCATTAAAGGCTGTGAAGAACCCAATTCTTGCACTTGCATGCCGATCAGATATTTCAGCAGATAGAGACTACCGGCACTCAATGATCATATATGACAAAGAAGAAATTGTCAAAAATATTAAAGGTCACAGAAAGCGCTAGTCCCATTTCATAATATTTTGCAGCACCTACCTATTACTGAAGTCAAAGATTAAACAGGCTTTCTTAGACAAGTGCTTGTCTCTTTTGCAGCCCAATTAATAATTAATGTCACCAAACTCAACATACAGGAGGACAATCTAAGTGCTGTCAGTCACCCTCATGTATACACCGCTCAATATGCTAATGGTGGAGAATCAACTTCCCGTTAAAGAAAGATTGTATATCCGCCATCGTCAATAGCTATGTTATCTAGTCTACACATTTAGAGTGGTGACCCACACTGAGGTTGTGGGTCACCAGTTGTAGTGTATCAGACAGCGCTGGGGATGTGAGATGATTGACAGCGCTAAGATCCTCCTCCTGCCTCTGATTGGCTGTTTCTGAGTTAGTAGTGTATTTCTCCAGGTGGCAACCACAGGGAGGAGGAGGAGGAAGAGGAGTTCACTTTCTTCATAGCATAATGCCAGGACATAGAGACAGTTTTAAAAAATATTTTAAAAAACCATTTTTTATAAAGGTTACATATTGCAGCTTTAAGTCAGCAGAGTCATCTAGTGGATAAAATGTAAAGCTACCCACAGAGTTACCATGAGGCCACATAAGACAAGGAAAAATATTCTGATAATGCAACATTGTGACAGGAAAGTATCTGGTAAAACTCACAGCATCACAACACTGACCCAAACACCATTTAATTTCCCTCAGCTTACAAATATATCCACCGAGCTAACAACACTGAAGACATTAAGCCCAGTTAGTGAGGTCTCATTTACTGATAAACTCAAATGCAGTTAACTTTCAATATGATTTCATACATTAGCTGAGTGGGACAATGCCGTCAGTGCGCCCCAGTTGGGTGGTTATCGGTTCGCAGCTAAGGCTAAAAGACTGCCGCTTTCAGTGGCGGGGTTTCATTAGTTGAGACAAGCACAATTCAATTAGATTTCAATTAGTCCAATGGCGGAGGTCAGAGACGCCATGGGTTCCCGAGTAATTAATCCGCAGAGCCGAGCTGAGCCCAAGCTAAACCGAGCTGAGGCAGGCAAAGCAGGGATGTCTCGATGGCTGGATGGACACCATGCACACAAACCCTCTGTCTATGTGTGTATGGGAAGGAGGGGTAATGCGGGGGGCGGGCGGGGGGATGGAGGGTTAGCGTCTGCCAGCAGATCCCCACTGACCTTGATTCACACCACACACACCCATTCAAGTAAGAAGGGGTGGAGGGAAGGATGAGGGGATAGATACTGATCTAGCACACATAAACACACACACCCAGCCATAAGAACATTGAAAAACACGTCAACAAACATGCACCACTGCACATGCACATTCACACTTTAAGCACATGGAAAACGCACAAAACCTCAGAGGGGTGTGCATACACGGATGGATTGAAAGGGAGGAAAAGTCAGAGAAGAGATGGATACCCATCTGACAGATGGACAGATGGATGTAGGGAGTGATGGACCAGTCTGACATTCTTTCAGAGGAATGAATGCACAAGCAGAAAGACAGATGATGAAAGAGTAGTGTGGCTGCTGACTGAGAAAGATAGCCAGCCATTCATTCAGCTGACACAGAAGGAAGAGGGCGAGGGGATGGACAGAGCGGGAGAGAAACAGACAGAGAGTGTCTTTGCTGTAGTCAACACAGCCTGCTCACCCTGTGCACTGTCCATCGGCCTGTGGTAATACCGCTCCCACCATCTGCCGCCATGCACTTACCAACGGCAACCACGCGAATGCACACGAACAGAGCGCTGCTGGCGGGTTACATCAGCAGCACTAAGTCGTATAACAAAGCCCATAGTCACAGATCATGATTATACAAGAGATTTGTGATTTGCAACCATTGGTGTCAACACGGCAGATTGCATGGTGCTCTGACGAGAGAGATTTTAATTCCTTTCATCTGCTGGACACAAAAAAATGTATCACTTTCAATTTGCAAGTTGAACCTTTCTGAATGAGTTTCATTGACCCCGAGGCAATAAGGCAGTGGAAGTGCAAAAAGGAAATGAAAAAACCCATAAAAAAGAAGAAAAAAAAAACTTGGAGAGTTTTCAAGCAGAAAGAAATGCATTTCCCATTCACTCTGAGGCTCATCTTCCAGGATAAAAGACTTGTATCCAGAGTTGGTATTAAATTGGGCCATTTTAAATAATCAAGGGCACCTTCTCATGTATTCAAAACCAATCTATGAGATACATGACCTACGTGTGCATAGATATGAAGATGTGCAGTGTTTACAAAGACTGAAGTATTCGTAAGTTATGCCATTTGTACGTCATAAACATTTGCCGTTTGAGTGTGATTCATCTCTCCTGTTTTGAGCGAATCAGTCAAGGCAACAGTAAAGATGCCACAAAGGCCCGAGAAAGATCACTCTTCCGCCGAGTGTTTCAGATGTTCAATGTAAACAATGGTGAGTTAGTACTAGGAGGACAATTGTGTTCCAAGAAAATAAGCCATCACACTACCAGCACCAGCCTGAACACAGCAGGATGGATCATCTTCTTTACTCCGTATTTTAACCCTACCATCTGAATATCAGCACAGAAATCAAGATTTTTCCAGTGGAAGTCTTCTATTGTCCAACTCTGTTAACCTTGTGTGAATTACACCCTTGGTTGTTCTGGTGTCGTCTTCTCCTGCTGTCTCGAGGTTTGACAAGTTGTGTTTCTGTGATGATATTTAGTAATCTTTGATTTTAATGTTTGGTTAATTGGACTACTGTTATTTTTCTACCTTCTTGAAACAAGCCACCCATTCTTCTTTGACATCACCAAAGATTTGTCTGCGTAAATACCAGCCGTACATTTTTCCTATTTTTTAGTTCATTCCAAGTAAAGCCAAGAAAATCCCAGCAGACCAGCAGTTTCTAAAATATTTACCTTGTCTGAGTATTTTGGTCTAGCATCAGCAACTATCCGACATTCAAAGCCGCTTAAAATCCACTTCTTCCCCACATTCTGATGGTCGGTTTTAAATTCAGGAAGCTGTCTTCACTTTGTCTAGATCCATAAACAAAATGAGTTGCTGCTGTGTTACTGGCTGCCTCACTGTTCACGTAGCCAGTCGATATGAAGGAACGCATTGAATGAAATAACTTAGGAGCAATACTGCGTGTGTATCTGTGCGAGAACCAGGATTTCCAGCAACGAGTTATAGGCAGTGGAATAACATAACTCAAATACGAAATAAGAGTGACTTTTTATGCTAAAATTACAGAGCAAGATGTCATAAAATTTGAGAAAATCAGACGATTCCAAGAACAAGTGAATGCATACCGTCAAGCCCCATTCAACAGGTGTCATAACGTAATGAGAGCAGCACTGTTTGATAATGGATATTCAGTACATCGTTCTCGATGTGGCGGAGGAATACAATGACAAGTAACTCATGAATGAAG